CAGCTCGCCCCCCCCATCCGCCGGCCTGCACCCTTTGACCTTACCTTTGCAAGTAGTGGTGAGCAGAAGTGCATGGGTAGCGATGAGCAGAAGTTCACAGAAGTGCAGCTGCATTCTGCAAGGTAAATATAGGCTGGAGGAGGAGAAATGAGGGTTGTGGGTAAAGCCAGCCATGAAAGGAATGGCTGGGAGGCGAGGGGTAGGGCTTAATCCAGGGGTGAAATGCTCTCAGTTCGGACCGGCTCAGGCGAGTAGGTAGCGATGATGGCCGGTGGTTCGGAGAACCGGTAGCAATGGCAGCTGGACACTCTGCCCACCTGCCCCATTCCCTGGAGTCGGGGAATGCACCATTCCCTGACTCCAGCCTTGCCATGGAGCCGTTGCTGCTCGCCCTTCGCCACACAGTGTATCCTACTGCTCACCTTTCTCCCATGGCTGGCTGTCAGGGAAGGCAAGCACCCGAAAGTTACCGGAGTCACTCACTCTCTTTCTTGAATGAGCCGCTCTGATCCATGCGCCGGCTGCACAAACACACACCGTTTATTTAATTCACTCATCAATGGAAGGTTGGGTGTGCGCTTGCGCAGCCGGCGCATGGACCAGAGCGGCTCATTCAAGAAGGAGAGTGAGTGACTCTGGTAACGTTCGGGCGCTTGCCTTCCCTGACAGCCAGCGGCGGAAGAAAGGTGAGCAGTAGGATTCCGGGGAATGGGGCTCGTGGACAGAGCTGTGTGGCGAAGGGTGAGCAGGCAGCGGCTCCGCGGCAAGGCCGGAGTCGGGGAATGGTGCATTCCCCATTGCCTGGAATCGGTGGGCAGAGCCGCAGGAGAAAGGTAAGGACACGCTGGCAGAATAGAAATTTTAAAAGTTTTCCTGCCGGGTTCTGTGGGCATGGCTTGGTGGGAGGGGGTCTTGTGACTGAGGGGGCGTGGCTGTGAGTGACATTGCGTTGGCCAGCCCACTGAGTCACAGGACACCCCCCCACCAAGCCACGCCCACAGAACCGGTAGGGAAAAAATTTAGATTTCACCCCTGGCTTAATCCCACCACTGCACGGGCCAGATAGATTATGTCGGTGGGTCATATCCAGCCCGCGGGCCATAGTTTGAGGATCCCTGTTCTAGATGTACTACACACTTTGTATTAGTACTATCTTGCCATACCTGCTCTAAACTTGCATATTTAGATATGTACCGGTAGTAATTTCTTTTCTTCCCTAACTAGTTACCTCATTTAATCTTTATTTTTCACTTTATCTCAATATACCTTCCACTGTCAAAAGCTGATGCGGGATATTTCTGCAAGCATATAGACTAGATGAGCAGCAGTACAAAAACATTTTATTCTAGTTGAAATGCAATCATTTTTCCTGAACTAGATCATATTTAAATTGCATCTATAAAGAAGGTGATTAGAATAGTACTGCAGGTAATACAACAGCTGATTCTGATGTTTTGTCACTATATATTGTTGAAATGATTTTATTTAAAAAAATGAGATAAATTTGACAATTTCTTGTGATGGTGTTATTAGTGTACCAGTAGATGGCACTTAACTACAGATTGACTCATTGGAATCTCTTTGTATAGTAATGGTCTGTAGGATGTGGGTGAAAGAATGGAGCATGTGGGACAACATGTATCCTTGTAGAGCAGTCCAGGACTGACAAATTCCACAACTGACTATTCATCTCAGGGCAGAATTGGAAGGATCAAATTCATGATACTGTATGTTTTTAAATACAAGGCTTATTTTTCACATTGTTTCCTGTGAATTGTCCTGATATTATTATTTGTTTTACTTTTCCATTATGTATAAAAACACAATGCAAGCAAAGTTAAAGCAAACATTTTTAATAAGACAATTTAAAAAACAAACAAACGGTGAAATATAGATTCTGCCTAAGAAGAGACTCATCTTTGAGGAACTTTGACCATCTTAGATTGGATTCTCTTATTTTTTTCCTCAGAGTTTCTAGATATTTGCATATTCAGACTAAGAATAAATTATAACCATGGAAAATAAACATGATTGCTTTTGTTGCATGTGCTTCTTCTCTCCAAAAGTTAAGGGTTAATTAAATAGTTTGAGCCAGGCACCATAATTAGAGTAAAACAGCTGAAAATACGTGTTGGTCTTGATTTTATGCATTTATATACTTTTTTTCATACAAACAGCTGAGGAAAAGTTCTTAAAGAAATACTGAGTTACTTCTAAAACTTTTGTAGCAGTGGTAGGTTGCTACCGGTTCATCCCGGATCGGGCAAACCGGTAGCAGCAGTGGCAAGAGGCTCCACCCACCCACCTGGATGCTTCTGCGCGTGCGCGCAAATGCACACACACCCATGAGTGAACCAGTAGCGATGGGTTTTGAAACCTGATCCTGTTTTGTAGGTGATATAGGCAGTCATAAAGTGCAACATAGACCAGGAGGTTATCTTTTTCCTGCCAAAAATAATTGACTTCAGCTCCTAGTTAAAAGAATCAGTAGAAAAATTCATATCTGCAAGGCCTAATGGAAGAACTGGCTCTGAAGAGTATAATAAAAATTAGTCACGCATCCAAAATTAATCATAAATTCTGACACTTTTTCAGAAAATGTAGGAAACAGTTAAATATTAAACCCTGGGGACCAAAATTATTGCCCTCAAATTCTAGATGCCAAGTATCATCTATGCCTCTTTATTCTATGGTCAGAATACATAAATGTACTTTTACTCCAAATAGCCCATGGCTCCAGTTTTAGGGGAACTTCAAATGAGCTGTTTCTTCTTCAGAATACAAAAATCTGCTTTCCTTACAAGCCATTTGTCTCCAAGAAGTATGTATGACAACTTATCCAAGGAAGGGGGTATAGTATAGTAACTGAGTTTCTAGAATAGAATTCTGGAGATCTTAAACATCCTCTGCCATCCTGGGCCCTATACCCTGTTTTGGAATACACAGATTGATAGTTCTGAATGTCACCACCTATTTACCAATTCTCCTGGTGTTTTCCTTCTAAATTCAGTATGTGAGAGAGACAAGGCTGTTTTTATACTGTGCTGACTTTCTGGAAATTAAAAGGAAGAAAAAAGAAGGGGGGAGAGAAATAATTTTTCTTATAAATAATAATTTTTCTTATAAATGCAACTTGTCTGTATAGCTTAGAGATTTATAGTTGGAGGATTTAGCCCTTTGGAAATAGAGCAAGTCAACAAAAAATAAACAAACGTTATTAGAACAAAAAAATATAAAATTCAAAAATCTCAGTTTAATTTTTAATATAAATATGCAGTGCTCCAGAAGGACCACAAGATGGTGATGGTCTGCCACAAAATCTCCTGTAAATTGTTTAGGATTCAGATTAAATAATATCCTTGTATATATTCAAGTTGATTAAAAATGGATACAAAACCACATTCATAATTTTTACAGAGGAATAGAGACAATATGTCACATAAACAAAATGAAAGAAAAAATCTAATACAAATCCCTGGCTAGATGTATCTATTCAAACGTAATGCTGTCTGGAGCATCTGTTCCTCTGCTTTACATTCACAACAGATAATCAACATAAACTGAACTTCGCGTCACTCAGGACAAAATATTATTGCACAAGTGGAAAAGTATCAGTAATCTTCTAAGTCTTTATTTATTGATTAGCCCTTGGGCTATATCAAAGTGCAAAGTTCCAAAAACAAATTATTACTAAAATTTGATAAAAGCGATTTAAAATGGAATTGGATAAAATACAATTTAAAATGAAATTGGAATAATCTGGAGTAATCTTCTTAAAACAGGGGTGTCAAACTCGCGGCCTGCAAGCCGGATGCATCATGCGCTGTCTATGCTCATGCCCGGTTTAGCAAAGGGGGGGAAGTCGTGATACGTCATATGATGACGTCGTGACGATGCACGTTTGACACCCCGGCTTAAAAACAGCAAAGAATCTTTGCCCCTTTATTTTCACAGGCCAAAGCCAACTTCTTTACTAGGTGGTAAAATCTATTTTCAAACAACAGTTAGATTTCAACTTTGGGGAAGGTATATAAAAATGTATTTCTTGTTAATATACTTCAGTACTTTTTGTCACCATATCCTTATAGTCAAAATAATATTTAGGAGACAATGAGGAATGTAAACATGTTTTGTTCCTTAACTTCTGGAAATCAAAGAATATAAAAGATTTCCAAATAAAATGGAACATGTTACTTTGCCATTTATACTGATGAAGTGAACTTCCATTCAATTATATTGTCTCTTTTTTATTATTAAAAAGCAACATTTAGTTCTGGTATTTCTTAAATAATTCTGCAAGGTTATAAAGTGAACAGACAAACAAATGGCAATTAAGAGATTCCTAATAAAGTTTGGAATTGGTCTGAGTAGACACTAACCAAAATTAGTTTTTCTGAAGAGCCTAGAATAAGGAAAAGCAATTAATTTGCAAATTTGTGACTAGTAATAAAAAAATGCACTGGAGGGGGGTCGCTGATAATTTATTGGAAAGAGGGGCTTCTGATGGACAAACTTTGATTTCCATAAATTTATGATCTGCTTTTTAAATTGTTCATACTAAATCTTTAAGTGTCTACAGAATAGTTTTTTATATGTCCAATAAAGATTATGGCTGTGTAACAGTTTGGGTTTAGTTTCCAAAAGATGTTTTACCCCTTTAGAGGTTCCATACCTTTTCCAGGATTGTATGCTGTTACATGATTCCAGAAAATGTACAACTACTTTTAAGAGTTACAGATAGGTGTTACGTTTATGCTCTCACATACTCTGAAGCACAATTTCCAAATTATTTCATAAATGTGCTTAGTCTTCCTAATAATCTAGATGGAGAAATAAAAACTCTTTAATGATCACAGCAAGGGCATTATTTCATAATCCATTGGAAAAGGCAATGGATTAAATATTAAAAAGATAAAAGTAATGATGACAGGTACAGCAACCAATAGTGGAATTGACAATGGAGACACTAAAGTGATACGTAGATAATTTCTACCTTTTAGAACCAACTATTACCAGGAAAGGAATCAGCAGTCAAGAAATATGCTGCAGACCTGCACTTTGCAAAGTAGCAGTGAAGACCTTGGAGAAGATATTCAAATGCCATGATGCTTACAAATATCAGAATTGTGCAGACAATGCTTTTCCTTGTGACACTCTATGGAAGCAAAAGTTGGACTTTGAAAAAGCAGAATAGAAAGAACTTTGATGCTTTTGAACATTAGTACTGAAGAAGACTCTTTAGAATATCTTGGATAGATAAGAAAATAAACAAAACGGATCATCAAACTAATCTATGTAGCGTTCTCATTTTAAAGTACCAATGACCAGACTCAAATTATCCTATATATTATAGTCTCTCTGGAGAAATCCATAATGCTAGGAAGGGTGAAAGGAAAAAGAAGAGGATGACTAATAGCAAGCTGAACAGATTCCATTACATGGTAATGGATGTACCTTTGAAGGATAATATTTGTAGTTCAGGATTGAGATGAAGAGTCCTTGGTGCTCTCTGAGCTCAGTTGTTTCCTTGCAGATGTTTCATTAACCAAACTGGGTAACATCATCACTGCTTAAGTTGGTTTGTGTGCTACGCTGATTTGATGTGGTTTTCTGTTGGTGGTTTCTGAGAAGTTTTTGATGTATGGCAGTATTACCCTTTTTACAGCTTCTGCTTGTTGTACTATATTGGATTGAGTGGTCAGCCACTTTTTAATAAAATTGCATGGATATGAATTTTGTTGGAAGATATTGTATACATACTCTATTTCCTTTCTCTGTTGTTCAGGGCTGCTACAGTGTGTTTGCACTTCTGTAAATAAGAGTTCTTATACAGCTTCTTTTGTGATAGGTTAGGATATTGCTTCAGTAGTGGAGCACTTGATTGATGTGGGTGGTTTTTCAGTACACTTGTGTTTCTAGTTTGCTATCACAGTCTCCGCTGATCAGGATGTCCAGGAAATGTAGTGTGTTGTAGTTTACTTCTCCCTGGTAAATTGGATTCCTGTGAAGATGTTGTTGATGTTTTTGTGTGTGTGGTCTAATTGTCCTTTTTTATTATGGTGAAGATCTGGTAGATCCATATATACCAGATCCATATATTGGGTTGTACTTGTGGAAGTGCTATCACTTCAAGACTTTGCCTAATGACCTCTGCTATGAAACCTGAAAGCGGTGGTCCCATAGATCATCGCTTATTAAAAATTAATAAAGTATATCACAGATATACCTTTAATTTGTTGATAGGTTTGTCCATCTAATTGAAAGTATATGATTACACAGAGGTTTATAAAATCCATAATTCTGGGTCTTTCAATCTTTGTGTATGTGGTTAAGGGGGAGAGCCTTCTCTGTGGGAGCACCCGCCCTCTGGAACGAGCTACCTCCCGGAATACAGCTGATTCCGGATCTCCGCACTTTCCGTAAGGCCCTGAAGACGTTTTTATTTCAGCAAGCTGGCCTGGTCTGAATAGGTTTTATGGGTTAGTTTTTTAATTGTATTGCTAGGGGTTTTAAATTGGGGCAGCCGTTTAATTTAATTTATTTTTAATTATTTTAACTTTTATATTGTATGTTATTTTAATTCTCGGCTGTTCATCACCCTGAGTCCCTTCGGGGAGAAGGGCGGGATATAAATTTAATAAAAAAAAAAAAAGTTGGGTGCACTATGGATCAATGTTGTCATAGATTCTTTGGCTAATTCCAGATCTATGAACAAGGAAAGGGCTATGACAAAGGATGTACCTCAAGCATCAGGTTGTGAAACAATCATCATGGAGAAAATCTATGTGATTCTAAGAGTCAACACTGGCTTAATAGCACAAACTCAATAAAAACAGTATCTACATTAGTTAACTTGCAACCTGGAGACAGGAGTAACATGCATGTGAGTCATATGAATAAGTCTGTCTGATAAGTTTTTTTATAGCAGGATTTGTAGGTACAGTCCCATCAGGAGGGGGAAATAACATCAAAACATTCATAGTATTTTGTTTCTTTGTTTCTGATCAACACTTTAAAATCATTTATACGTAATATATTTCACCAAACATACTATCAGTTTTATTTCAGCTTCAACATGTTAAGCATTGTATGGCAATATTTTGTTTTCAGTACTCACTGTATGGTTGCTAAGTAACTGTGCAGAAGCAGCAATCTGCACGGCTCTTTGTTTGGCTTAACATACAGGCGTTTGAGGTATGTGATGATACCAGCACAACCACTAACAAACACATTTCTCTTGCAGAGTGTGTGAATGTGTCAATCAGGTTGTGAGAAAATTTTACATTAGAACACTTACCCCCTTCTTTAAAAAGGTATTATCTCCACAAACAAATGAAATATATACAAACTTTGAAACATTGATATAAATCTCAAAAATGGCAATTTAAAAAGGATAAGGAGGAGAGAGAGGAAGAGGAGGAGGAGGAGGAGGGAGAAGAATCTTGAACATTACATAAATTTAATTCCCAGTATCATGTATTTTTCAAGCAACAAATAAAAAAGAAATTCTGAAATTTCTGCTTCAGAGAAATAACCTAATAATAAAAATTAGCCAGAAGATCATACTCGGCTCTGTTTTAAACATTTTGCAACCTTACTGCTTTGTAAACCATAGTATGTAAATTTAATAACATGTATTAAAAGTTATGTGGGTGCAATGACTCAGCATTTAAGTTGACAGCTGGGTTAAGACCCCAGCACTGCGCAACGGGTTGAGCTCCTGTTACTTGCTTCAAGTCCTGCCACACCTAGGAGTTTGAAAACATGCAAATCTGAATAGATGAATAGGTACCACTTCAGTGGGAAAGTAGCAGTGTTCAGTGTGCCTTTGACATATAGCCATGATAATCACATGACCACAGAAATGTCTTCAGACAATGCTGGCTCCCTCAGCCATCCCCTAAAGTCAGACACCCCTGGATTGGGGAAACCTTTATCTTTATTAAACAGATAAGATGAAGGTAAACCAAGAACTGTAATTGAACTAGAACAAAGGAAAATATATGGTTTAAAATGTGTATTAAGAGTATAAAAGATGAGTAGTTGAATATATAAAATGCCTGTTGAAATTTCAGAAGATTATAAATCAATATATACTATATATAAATAAACAAAAAAAAATGTCATGAAAAATTACCAGATATAATAATACCATTGTTATCCTCTGGTAAAATTCCAGAGGATAACAATGATCATATGTTGCCCTTAAAAGAACAAAGGAAGCTAAAGTAACTTAAAAGCAAACAGATTTAATATGGCACAGCTTTCCACAGACTAGACCTCTCTTCATTATATGCTTGAATTGTTATCCCCAGTGACAGATATACGTGTGGTTAGGATGGCCATGTGTTTTCCTTTACAGAAAATAGTCCTTTTCTGAAAAATGCCCTTTCTTTAAAGTTTATGTCACCTAATACTCAGTTCAAATATCAGGAACTGCAAGAAGGGAGAGTGGGAGCCTCAAAGCTGTCTTTTAAGACCATTTGGATATCAGATACAGTAGAAGAAACAGATGGATACCTAGATAAAACCTTCCATTTTGCAGCATGATCTACTGCACTGCCATGTAAAAACATTGTTCATTATTTATAAAGTTTTCATCCGTACTTAAGAATAAATTAAGAGTAAAGTTCAGCTAGGGTTTTGGTGACCATATGGAAATATCCAGGCAGCTTGCTTAGCAAATAGCATTGAAGCAGTTGGCAGTTGCCTTCTTTTGGATGTGTGGATAGGTGGGTGTATAACTCAATTCTGTTTACAGTCCTAAGATTCTCTGGTAGTCTCCTAACCAAATACTACGGTAACTAGGACTGATCTTGCTCACCTACAAGTCCCAAAGTGAAGGGCCTGGTGGCTCAGCAGATTAAAAGCATTGTGATTAATACCAGCTGTCTGCAATTACTGTAAATTCGAATCTCACCAGGCTCAAGGTTGACTCAGCCTTCCATCCTTTCTAAGGTAGGTAAAATGAGGACCCAGTTTGTGGGGGCAATAAGCTGACTTTGTATAAATATACAAAAGTATGAAGGCTATTGCTTAACGCATTGTAAGCCGCCCTGAGTCTCTGGAGAAGGGCGGCATATAAATCAAATTTTAAAAAAATAATAATAATGCCAATTTGCCTCCTTTGTCCTTTGTGTTTTTTATAATGCATTCCACAGTTTTGGTAGTGTAAGTGGCCACACTGAAAGTAAAGTGTGATCTATGAAGCTAAAACATTCTGAAAACAGCAGGGCTGGCAGTGGAAATGACTTTCAGTGCAAAAATTGAGTATATTTAGTGGAGCCCAAGACATGTCCCACTTCAGGTGTGAAAGCAGCTGCTACCTCTACCAGCTTTATACTTTGTGTCTTGTTCAAAGGGGCTCCTTCTCAGAGCAAGACACTGTGGGCGAAGTGTCCATGGAGACTGCTGGTGCTGCCACAGCACAGATGGTCTCCATGGACACCATGCTCACAATGCTTCCCTCTGAGGAAGGACTCCTCAGAGCAAGCCATTGGGATTTGACGAGCACTTTGAAAAAAAGTAGTTGCTATTTTTCTACTCTCCAGGTGAGCAAGCTTTGCTGATCATGGCTGTTATTTATTCCTATATGCCAGTGAGAGTTTGGCATAGTTAATAATAGCTGATTCAGCCATTGATTTTCAGTATTAGAAGGGATATCAGATCTGGGCTGCAAAACTCCAGATGACCATAGAAGTTTATCTTTATATTAATCTGGAAGTCCATCAATGTTGTCACAAGCTGAACTTCCAGGGGAAGACATCTTGAAGAGCTTTACCCGCTGCCTTAAGAAAGTTCAAAACATTCCTAAAGATCCATCTCATCCTGGTCACTCTTTTTTTGAACTATTACCATCTGGCAGATGATACAGGTCAATAAAAACAAGGACAAATAGGCTGAAAAACTGCTTCTATCCCAGGGCAATAACCATATTGAATTCTATTGTATAGTGCAATATCAGGTTTTCAATTTCAATTATATAGAAGGTAAAGGATGTATGTTTGTGTTTTTATTTTTATAGTTATAATGTACACTGAAGACTGCATTTAATTTTGTTGTACCATGTGCAATGACAATAAAGTAAACTATAAACTATAAATTATTTTCCAGAGCATGGAGACCATGCTAGACACCATCAGAAAACAGAATAAAACATGCAAAGATGAAAATGTAATAAAAAATAGAGTACGATTAGAGAGATCTGGATTCAAGTCACCTTCAGCTATGATTTGGCTGATCATTCAATCATTGTTATTCAACATAGTTTATGGGCCACTTATTGTGAAA